ACACACACACACACACACACACACACACACACAGACAGACAGACAGACACACACACACACAAACACACACACACACACACAGACACACACAACTTTACAATAGAACTGTCCCCTACAACTTTAGCACTCAAAACAAAACAAAATAAAAAAGGCAACCATCAAAAACAAAAAAAAAGAAACAACAAAAAGAAACAATAAATATACAAGAAACGAAAAGAAAAAAAACACCCCCCAAGCTTGCTGAGTACTCAATTGCAACAGCGCCCACTCCCTTTTTCTGCATCCACACTTTGATCGATGCTCGTTGCCCGTTGCCCGTTGTCCGTTCTTCAGGCATACACACACAGTGCCACACTAGCCAGATATGCCAAATATAGTATTTAACCGAACATAACGGATCTATCATTTTTTTGAAAGGTAAGGGTTCCAACACGCGACTGACTCGGGTTCAGGAAGTTCATGTCCCAATTGTTTCTGCTGTTTTTACTGATGATGATGATGATGATGATGATGATGATGATGATGATGATGATAACGACGACGACGACGACAACGATGACGTTGATGATGATGATGATGATGATGATGATGATGATGATGATGATGATGATGATGACGACGAAGACGATGACAGGCCATATTAATGATCATATCGTTGAAGTGGCTGCTGTTGCTGTCATCACCAGGAGTCACGCGGAAGATGTTGTTGTGTCCCGCCCTCGCTAGGTGGCGCTTGTCTGTCGTCTGCTGTGGCAAACGCCTGTTTACTCTCACAACCCATCAACACCAGGCCGGGGACAGACCGATAATATGACCAGCAATCGTCAGCTAAGGAGGCTACTTGTTCTCTCTTCCGCGAACACACACTACGTACGATACCAATCCTGAACTGTCGATACTTTTGTCTTTTTTTTTTTTGTGTAAAGTGTTCTACGGCGCTCGCAACTGCATACGGTCATAATATTATAAGCGCGCGGGACACATTAAACATAATTTTCAGTTCGTAGGAAATTTTAGATTTTGCCCGGGTGACGGCCGAAGCCTACTCTTGTCGATTTGAGACCACCAAGGGATCTTTAATGTGCGCAACTTGCACACGGGATTTTTCGCCCTTGTCCGAAAAGGCTAGGAGTAGATTTTTCCTACCAGAAGATCAGACATGTGGCTGAAAAACAAATGATTTTTCGAGAAATACTGAAAGTTTCAAAGACATCTTCGCTCTAGAAGTTTTCTAAAATGTAAAGAATACTACCCCGCGGGTACAAAATGACATTAGGACGTACGGATAGGGTTAAAAAATCATTAGACGATACAAGCTCGTAGACAGACTTACGATGCGATTCCTGAACAGTCAATAGACGTTCAATAGACGATAATATGCAGACGGGAGCTCTCGTGGTCTTGGCCTCGAGGTTAAGGTGTTTGCCTCTCATTCAATAGGTTCTGGATTCGAATCCGGATAGCTCCTGACAATAATTTTCTTCTCCAAAATTTTCTACTCTCACCTCCTTTCCTGCTCTCTAACAATGTTCTGTTCTGTCGCCTGCTTTCATCTCCACTTTCTGTTCCCACCCTCTCACCTCCCTTGCCCTCTCCCCTGAGCTCCTGACTCTTTCTGCAGATTTTCTACTGCTACTCCTTGGCTCCTCCATACTGCTGTCCTTTCAGCCACATTCCTGATCTTATGGTAGGAACGATCTACTCCTAGCCTTCTCAGATAAGGGGGAAAAAATCTCGGAGGTCTCGAGTGTAAGTTGCGCGCTTTGAAGATCCCTTGATGGTCCAAAACAAGAGTAGGGCTTCTGCCGCCACTGGGACAAAATTCAAAATTTCCTTCAAACTGAAAAATGTTTAACGTGTCCTGCGCGCTCATAATATGACCTTATGCAGTTGTGAACGGCGTAAAACACTTGAGAGAGAGAGAGAGAGAGGGGGA